CAGAATAGTGACATCCGGAAGAGCTTTGGAATACAGCCTTTGTTTCTCCAGATTGAGAAGTCACAGCTGCGATGGCTTGGGCAATTGTTGCGAATGCCTCTAGAAACTAAGGCTGAGCAACTGTTCCTTGCAAATCCGATCGGCAGAAGAACCAGGGGATTGCGAAGATTAATCTTGTGCAAATATATGGAAGGAGTCTGTTCCAGACTCCATTTGTCTTTTGCCGAAGCTCATTCTCTGGCGCAGGATCGTGAACGTTGGAAGCTCTCTCTAACGTGTCTGCCTCCGCGACCCGAAAGGAGAAGCGGCGATGGAAGGTGATGATGAAGTCACATGAATTTTGACAATTCCAAACTGGGTACCGTATTATTCAGGTCTTTTTGGATATCTTCAAACTGTAAATGTGTTGATTATGCTGCGCAGTTTGGATGTTTCTGCTTTTGAAAGGAGCGTTGGAAAATGTTGGATCCTTGTTGGAGTAGAAACCTCGAACTTTTAGTTTTGAATATGAGTAGACCAGCTAATTTTCTATTGCTTCTCAGTTCTGAGTGTTAGTCGCGGAAGTGTCATAAGTCAAAAAATTATTTGAGTTAATCTGACATAAAACAATAAAGCAGAAGCTGCACTCTGAACTAACTATTTATCAAAATACCACTCACTGACATTTTTGGGTGTTGGCTCCCAGTATTTTAAGGATATCATTCAAGTTCTAGATATTGGACGAGGCCGCCAAATAATAAGATGTTTGCTGCAACCATTGCGATTGTGCATTAAATATGCCACTGACCGCATCCCTGTCACAGTTGTTAAGACTTTTAAGAGTAAGTTACGACAAGTAAAGAAGCTGTTAGTTTGGAATTTGTTCTTTGAGTTTATCACACACTTGCACAAATAGCTCGTAGTGTTTGTCTTTTTAAACAGAAGGGCAATATCTCCGATTTCACAAGAGGAGACACGCAGTAGACCATACATCAGCTGCGCTGGGGAAAGAGATGAAATACCTTCGTATGATCATTAATGCAGGTTAATACATTTAAATAATGTTTTGCTTCATCCTCAGGTTTACGAAATTTACGTTCTAGTTTCGGTATGTGCTCTTGCTTAGTTCTTTTCTGACTTGCTCATGTGCCTTAAAATGTCTCGCGTAGTGCAGGTTATCACCTAGCCTCCTCATGCACTGATGAGACATAAATGTGTGCTCTTGCGGTGACGTAAAAGGCGTGAGGTCAGCATGGTTGCAGCCTTGAATTAGAATTAGCAGCCTGATGCACGCGAGGTTTCACTTTCTCGGTGACTTAAACTGAACTGTACAACTGTCGTTACAAAAGCAATGGTACCAAACTAGTTCATACGTTCTTGGATTCTTTGCTCCGAGAATATCACCTCTTATTTTATAAGGGAATTATTTAAAAACTATTTTCTTGTTGCTATACACTACATTTTCGTGTTTTTTTCTG